GTTACCGACCGGACGGTTCGTGGTTCCAACCGGACCTCTGCCTCTCGACTTCGCTCGTCTAGGCTGGGGCAACCTGGCAGTATAGCAGCCCTCGTGAAAACTTCGAGTGGCATGGCAGCTAAGCACCGAAAGTGTGCTGAAGCTGAACGATTTTTTTAAAGATTTGTTCTTCAAGAGAGAAGGTACGACATCACTGTATATTAAGGTGACCTTGAGAAATGATGTTTCTATCTTACAGAGTAATTACAACTGCTAACCTTGTTGATGAGTTATTCCACGGAATTGAGTACCGAAGGACCAAGATCACTGGAAACGGTGATGAACAAGTTTCTCACCTTGTACCCACACAGCTTTGACCGTAAAAGCTAAGGGCACCAGAATGCGGTTGGCTTTCCTCACGATTGACTTCCTTCCAATGTTGAGAAGCCACGTGAGATTTTCTTAGTTTCGCTGATAAACCTTTGCCTCAACACTTTCATTCCAAAGAGTAGTGGATATTGCGGTCTTCTTTACGCTTATCTATCGAGGTCCTTGCATGCGGTCCGCGTCACCTCGAAAATAACGTGCCGGCTCCTTTGTGGATCTTGAAACCCGAAACCCATCTGCTGTCTCTCCAAGGTGTACTATCGGTCGTAGCCGCGTGGTTGACGTCAGGCATCTAAATCTTCTTCAGGTAACCGGAACAAATCGCTCTCCTTGGAGTCTTCAGTGCAGCGCTCCGTCATCGATAACCTCACAGGGTGTAACGCGTTTCCTAGGCATCAAGTGAAATTTCATCCTGTCAGTGAAACCAATCTGTGAGAAAAAAACCGAGGAGCACCGTACAGCTGTTTCATCCTTATCGGGAATCATCGACAGCGCGCTTCTCACGAAACTCTGGTCTCTTCAGGCTGATGGTTCGGTCTCGATCGGCTAAATATCAGTATGATTAGCACGATATGGCGCCGCCCATCTTTCTGTGGCAGAAATCCCATCACGAGGTCACACACGGACTAGCCCGTCGAATGAATACTTCTCAATTGAAGCTCCATTCTCGCAGCTACTTACACATTGTTGCCAGTTTGAAGATATTCGATAGTTTTCAATAGACGTTTTGCCCTGTCACTGAAGGAAA